TTTTTTTTTTTTTTTTTAATATTGCTTGGGATTACATAAACAGAGTCTGACATACTCATAATTTATGGGCCTTATTTTACACTAGCCAAAATTAATGCTCTAATAAATACCTATTTCTCTAAAGCTCTTTTAAGTTGGTAATAATATGGTTACGTAAAAATTCCCTTAATGGCTTGCATATTTGACAAGTACTGTTTCAATTAAAACAGTGTGAAGCATGTGCCAGTACTGTTTTACATCTCAGTTGTTTTAGTGCCAGGGTGATTTGTGGTGTCTGGCCTGCCAGTACAAAGGTTCAGCCTCCTTTAAACATCCTTTAATACTGAGTGKTTCTGGACTGTGACAGTTGTCACAGTATTGTGAAGCAATTCATCACAGCCTAACAAAACTGYAGTTGTCCTGCCTCTACTAGCCATGAATATATATATCTTGTGAAACACTTTGTTTAAACTAGTTCAGCTATAAACATCTTGATTCACCCCCAAAATAGGGCCTTCGTGTCAGATTCATTGTGTGAAGGGAAGAACTTTTAAGTGACATGTGATTAAACTTGGCTGTGTAGATGTGAACAAGATAAGTAATTTCTAGTTGAGAGAAACTGGTTTATTTAGCTGCTTGAAAATTCCTTCATACTTGATGGAAACCTGCTTGGCTGCCTTGTGCATCTGCAGTAACGCTGCAGTATCTGTTCAGCAGTTTTGTGGGAAACACATCCAAACAATGACTGAAAGCCGTGGGATGTGTATTTGAAGTGAGAATGATAGGAAATAGTTGAAATTATAAAAAACCCAACAATTCTGATCAAAGCAGATTTAAAGGTAATATGATCTGGGTGTCTTAATTAAGTAATTTCTCAAGAGTTTGGTATGCAGTTATGTAACTTAAAATCTCAATGTCTAGGGTTACAAACTTTGGGAAATCCAAAATAGTTTTAGTAATGTATAATGAAAGCCCTGACTTGTGTTTTGGAGAAGAGCTTTTCTTAGCTTGATGATGCAAAAAGTATGTTGACAATTTTCTCCCAACTGCCATTCTTTTCTGTTAATGACCTGGATTTCTTGCTTTAATGCCACATAAGACCAGTAATTTTTGTGCTATGTGAGTAATTCTATAATTTGTGCTATGTGAGATATTTTCCTGTGTGATCTCCAGCTGCTTCAGAGGGGTGAGAGCATTGAATCAGAATCTACCAGCCTCCTGCAGATATCTGGGGTAGTTTACAGCATATTACCTGAATGCAATACTGAATTGAATTGTCAATGTCAACTTCAGAGCACTCTGAATTACATTTTAGCATTTTTCACTATATAAGTAGGAATCTATGACTATAAGAACTGATTCTGTGTACAGTTCTGTATTTGTGCATTCCCCTTGGCTAGAACAAGGTGAACATAAAAATGTGGTATTGGTCCAATTTGTAGACTTTTCTCTGGCAAGTCAGTCTTCTCTGAGAATGCGAGGAGGAATGTAGTCTATAATTATCTTCAGTTTCTTAAAATTGGAGGTCATTCAGTGTTTGAAATTAAGAGGTTGCTGCTCCAGATAATATCAAGTCAGTGCAGTTTCCCACCTTTGTTACACCCAGCACAGAGATAAAGGAGTTGAACATTTCACTTCATTAAGCAAATTATTCTAGTTAGTTATTGGCATATTAATGGATCAGCTAGGACAAGTAAAATAGTACTGTTGCATTTTACTGATTTCAGCCATTRAATATCTGCTCCTCAATCTGTCTTCTGATACTTTTCATCAGCAGTAAAAATTACAAGTGGGGTGTATGTGTGAAAAAAGTCTGTCCAAATAACTGCATAGCTTTTTTTCCTCACTTATCTATGTGTTATGATGGAATATATCATCTTCATCTCCAAGTTAGTATTTGCAGTATTTTGCAACATACTGTGTTGGTTCAGTGTCAGGTAAGCTGCAATAGATAACGATTCTGACAGAATGTTTTGAATCATAACCTATATTTTTCCTGGAAGTTTGATTAGTCAAATCCAAGCCACTGTAGCGTAACTTCAAGGACACTCAGTTGGTGTTCACTGATGCATAGCTTAGTGAGATGTAATCTTTACATTATTTGGAATTTAACCACTGTAAATAAATTGCTTTTGTATAACTGCACTAAAATATGATCCATAATTTTGCAGACAATATCCTGAACTTGCTGTTGATTTTCAGCAGTTCTAAACATCTGAAATATATCTGATTTTTTAATAACTTTAGCTTGTAATTCATTATTGGATTGCAAGCTTCGTATTTAGCTAGAAATAAGAAAAGGGAATATGTTGATGAATATCTTTATTTCTACATCTCATTTCTCTTGTTGTCTTTTCCCATGTATTATTCATCTTTTGAGAAGAGCCATCAATGCCTAAAGGTGCCTTTTTCATTAATTCTGATTTGTCTAGACAATTTATAAATTGATGTGTTCTGTGCCCCAAGAGAAAAAGGATGTATTGCTTTGGTAAAAAACCAAATACCCTGTGGTTACATTAGGCCTTGAAAGGAAATGATAGCAGGATTGTAGTAATCCATGCCACTGCACAACTTCCTTTGTGAACAAAATTCTAACAGGAAAAACTCAGAGGCTGTTCATAGGATGGATGGAAGGAGCCTCCACTAGATCTAGTTGCCATCTGTGCTCTGTTACAGACGCTGCATTATCTGTCTTAAATTTATTGCAACAGTATTTTCTCGTGCATGACATAAAATATTTTTGTACAAGAACTTAAATATGGGAAATGTTGTACAAATTATAAAACAAATCAACAGAGCTTTTCAGATCAAGTCAGCGAAGTTATTCTGTCATTGTAAATAATGTCCAAAAGAATGATATAATATGCTATTTGTGACTTTTTGTATAGCTGTTTAATATATATTGCTTTATTTTTTTTTTACTTTAAGTTTGGAGAAGAAGTCATTATTTTATATGGAGTACTAAATGGAGTCAGAGTCAGTTGAAATGCGGAACTGATTTTTAAATATATGTTCATAAAGGATGTACAGGTGTATATTTTGTCAGTTAAATAACACCACTATAATAACTCCCTGCCCTTCTGGGGACAGAGTTTTATGAAGCATCCTGCAGGACAACCTATTTAGGCAGTGGTACAATAAAGTAAATGGATTCTGCATAACCCTAATCTGAGATGCAGAATTTTCAAATCGAGACTGTTAGCAGAAACTAGCTCAACTTATTTTACGTTTGTAGAAGATCTTTGAAAGGAACCTTGCAATWACATCTTTTTCACTTAGAACAATCATGTCTGTACAATAGAATCTTAAWTATTGCATTAGAATGAAAAAGAACAAAGTATAATAATTGGGGTTTTTTGGTCAGATGGAACATGGGGATGAATTTTTCATTTCCCACCCTTTTCTTCTAGACTTATTCTCCATCCTAATTTTTTTTAAAGCTGGTATTACAATGCGAATTTTTATGAACTCAAATGTAATACTGAAATATACCCAAAATAAAAATACAGGGCAGCCACTTTACAATGCAAAATTCTTGCACTGGTGTTGATGGCAGCACATTTAGCTACAGTACTTTATATRGCAGTTGAATCACTGGACTGAAAAGCATACCAAAAAAATATTCCATAAAAACAAAATGCACCAAAACAAAGTGAAGAAATAGTAATTTTACTAATTTTAAGAAAGGAATTGGGGATAAATTGCATAGAAGCTAAGAAGAAAGAACAGCAAGTCAACCTTTCAGCTTATGAAAGAATTAACTAAAATTTTTTACATGTTAACTGCATTGCTTTTTAAAGGACTGCTGCTTGGAAATAAATCTCAAATATGCATGCAATTGGAAATGAAYAATGAGCTATGAGAAAAGAGGTAGCAGGCTGGGTTGCTCACAAGGAGGCTTCGTAACAAGMGAAGGAGAAAGAAAAGTAAAATATTAGAGGTATAAAGGAAAGAAGACAAATTAATGTCAGTAGAATATTTTATGTAGCTACTATTGTAAATCTTTGAAACTTATCTTTATGAACTATGTAAGTATCAGTAAACTTTATTTCTTAAGGAGGTAAACACGGGTACTTCCAGTTAGCTGTTCTGTACTTGGATGCTGAGGGAACTGACAGTCAGAATTCAGTCTTCTGTGATTGTCAAGGCAGTTTCATAATCTCATAGCTCTCCTAATTGCTAAAAAACTGGAGCACGTCTCAATTCAAAGTCAGGCTCTTGGCTTAGATAAAGCAATACTCTTCTCATGCAAAACTTCTGAGTGACCTTTTGATAGTAAAATAGTAATAAGCCTGCAGCAATTTTGTTTTTCCTGTTTATAAGGTTATAACTTTAAGGTTTCCCAGAATTATAAATATGTTGCAATTTATCAAAAACATGATTTTAATCATAAAACTATGTGAATGAAATAAAAAAGGAACTCATAACATATGCCAGAGAGCTCCAACAAAATTAGTTTCTAATGTGAAATGTTACATATGTGCATGTATGTGCCAATGTCTGTAATTGTCACACAAATGACAATATGAGATACTAGGATTTTATGTTGTAAAGACTCTAAGACATCAAAATTGTTCCATTTTAGTGAGAGAGGGTAACTATTGTTAGTCAAAATTGTCTGCAGTAACCTACAGTAACTTAACTTTTTGCATATAATTGCATAGCTTTGACAATCTGTTTTAGTCAATTTTTAGAGAGAATGTCTTTGATTTTTTTCATTCAATTCTAAAAGTATCCCAGAAGATTGATTTTTATATAGAAAAGTTTATCTGTGAATTTGAAAGCTTTTTTTCCCCCTCAAATAGTCTTCCTGTGTTCTTGTGGCTATTTTTCAGTCGCCTCAACAGTCTATGCTTAGAACAATCATCACTGACACATTTCATCTATTAGCTAAACAGCTGAAAAGGAGTGTTGTGAAAGCTGTGAAATAAAAAAACTCAATAACTGTTTTACACAGTACTTTTTCTGTCAGGCCAAGAGACAGGAAGTTGAATTTACAAGTTCTGTTTTTCATTTTGCAGAGCTACTAGAGAAGACACACAGAAGAGAGGAAGAAATGGGAGCTCTCCAGGTACATTTTTTGCTCAATTATCTAGTTACATTTTATTATTTTGTCACCCTTAAAATTACCAAATTGTGTTACAGCATTATGATTTTCTGAACTGCCTTGTGGTTTAAATTCAGATTTGGAAATAYATGCAAATACAGACCCAATAGCTAGTAATGCTCACTGCTGAGTTTCTTCACTGATTGGGTTAAATTCTCTGGGCTGTGTTTCTTTTTTCTGTTAAGCTGAATAAAACGGAAGTATTCTAAGAAAGTATTTAAAGTCTCTGAAGCATTAAATGTTCATAATCACCTTTCTGAGAAGAATGGACGAGTCAATATATGCTAGGAACTGATACAATATTATAAATCCTTATTGTATGTCTTCTACCAGTAAAGCTGTTTGTGCTAAGTACTTTAAATTTGCGCTTAGGAAGTCAGATTTGCCCTAAGCTCAGCTTTGGAATAGTATTTAAACCTTACAGTCAAAGAAAACATATTCCTTTCAAATTGAAATGGCTAAAAAAGCAAAAACAGGCTGGAATGTCTGAATTGTGAGGCTCAGGAGGCTATGAGGGAGGGCAGTGTGTGTATTCTTCAGAATACGGAAAGAAAAAAAGAAWATTTTAATAACAAATTGCTGCAAACAATGCCCAATATGAATATAAAAACGTTTACATACAATATGAAGAGGGTATCAATGAGTCAGCATTCTGTATGTACTGAAAGCRGGACATTTGTGAGGGAATTGATGAAGATAAGGCTCATAGAGAAAATGAAATTATGTATTGACCTGAGTTTTGGCCATAGGAGTTGGTTTGAAGATAAGCCTTCTCATATAGTAAATAGGAGGCATCTTGAGGGCTAGAGGTATCAAAGAAGTTAGTGTACAAACAGTTTGATCCAGTTAGAAGAGAGAAGTTGCAAGACCCAAAAGTTACACAACACACCAATCCAGCTGTTTCCTGTTCAAACAAAAATCTTGGCCTGGCTTTCTGGCAGCTCAAGTTCAACAAGGCTGAGAGCTTGTCTGCGCAAGCAGTTTACACAGGTGCATATCTGGTTACATCAATGTAAAAAGATCCCCTTTCATGTGAAGCAATTCTGCATCTGCTTTCATGTGAAGCTTTATGGTTGACAAATTGTTCTAATGATATTACTTCTGATTGAATGAGGAGTAATTTTATACTGCAGGAAGTTGCATCACAGTAGTGGCTAAATGTGCCTGCCTGACTTTCATGCTCCTGATTAAATTGCTCTATTCCTTTCCTTAACTGGCAGTTCTGGTTAAGAGTGTGAATTGTAGTGCTCTGGCTGCTGCTTTTTTATTCAAATGCTTGATAGCAGTTTTTTCGCCCTTCAGCTATCCATACTTTCACAGTCAAATAGTGTATAAATTATCCTTAGTAAATTTCCTAATACATTAGATGCTAGTCTAGAAAATCATCTGCTGAGATTGTAAGAGTTTATTATATTTTTAGAATTTGGCAACTATATAATGCACTTTATTCAATGCATGAGCCATTTTGAAAACACTATTTTGAGAACACATTGGAACCATCCTACTCACTCTAAGACCCTTTTTTGCAAAGTAGTCCTCTTTAACTGAAYACATTTATATCCGAATTGCTGTTCATTATTGCCAGAAAGTTATGAGATCTGKAAATACCCTCTTTTTTATGGTAATGAGTTTGTTTTTTGTTGCAGAATATTTAAATAAATATGTGTGTTTGCCACTACAGTTTTGTGGAGGAGCAAACATCTCTAAATCTATCTGAGTTTGTAACATAATATTTTTTGTCATAAGTTTGTTCTGATTGTGGAAATAGTCTGTATCTCAGACCTGCTTCTAAAAAAGAATAAAGACTTTAACACATGATACACTAATGAGAAAAAATTGAGTAATATTTGAGCAAGGTAAGAATTCCTGTAATGTCTTAATGGTCACCTAAACACTTGAATATATGTTTCATCAGATTATTTAAAATACTGTATGTAGTCAGAGCATAGTGCCAAATACATCATCCTGATTTGACTAGCTCCATATTTTTCTTTAAAATACTTTGCAATGGGAAAGGAATGATAAAATATATAAAAGAAATTTGCAGATACTGGGTTCTTTGTATTTTGTGCTGGATTAAAGCTGACACAAGTCTGTTTTATTTGTTTGAATAATGTCATCCTGTTATTAATAAAACATTATTCAGAGCTATTTCTGGATGAAAGAATAATGATATGGAATTTACTTTTTAGTTTTCTAAGGAAATGCGTAAAAGAAAACTTAGCCTGGTGCTAAGATGACATGAATTCCAAAACATGATGGATTTACAGTAAGAGATGATCAAAAAAAGAAATCATTCTTTGGATATGTAAGAGTAAAATCAACAACACTGAAAAACTAATATACTAATTGAAAAAATGTAATGGAATAATATTTTCAAATTATTGAAATAATTTTTCAAATTTTCAAACCTTTTCTTACCTTGTTTCTGGGGAGCTTCTTATTTTTGAGACAAATTTCTGAGTGGGATAGTTGATAAATAGGTTAGACATCCAATTAAAGTACAACTGTTCCTACTCAGTAAGACTTTTACAAAAAACTCTACATATGATCACCAAAAAACCAAAATTAATCCTATTCATCATTCTTTGACTTACTCTGTGTTTATATTCTTTGCTTGTGTTTTTTTAGGAACGTATTATGGCCTTAGAAATGGTAAGTTTCTTAAATTAATTTCCAAACCTATCACAATGACATTGCTGATAATTTGTCTAAATTATGATTTTTTAAAAAATGTTGTAGTTCTGGGGTTTTAATTGTCATTTTACTTTTAAGAGAAAATGTGATAATTTTGCACTGCACTTTTCTACACTACAGTATTTGCATACTTGTTGTATGAAATGCAGTGTTGTATTTTTCTGTACAATTCAGTCCTCATCCCATCCCAGAGAAATGTTTGTATCCATACAAAAGATGTCATTTTTCTAACACTTTTTGTGGTTGAGGTCCATGTGATAGATGTAGTTATTTCAGTCACTGCTATGTGTKCTTACTTGTTCAGACTGGGAGGTGCAGGCAAAATCAGTTCACCTGCCCATATCAACACTACAACTAAAATCATAAAGGAAATAGGATTTTAATTTTTAATTAATATCATTTAATAAGATACTAAGTTGGAAGAACAAAACTTTATGCCTGTATGTGCCCTGAATGCATTACCCAGATATCCCAAGCTCGTAAGTCCATCAAGTGGAATAGCTTCAATGAGTTTCAGCTTGTCCTGTAATTTCAGAATCATGCTTCTTTCCTCTCATGTAGGAATGTCCAATAAGACAGCACAAATTGTATTTATCAGGCCCATAGTTTATTTTAATGAGAAATCCAGGAAATTTCATCTAAAGAAACCACTACTGAGACAGTATCAATGCTGCAAATATAAACTTTTACAATTTATTTGTATAAATTATTATTTTATTCTTTCTGATAGCCTCTGCATCTCTGAAAACAGTTTCTGATTTCAAAAATATATTAAAAAAGTATTCATATCTTAATAAAAAGCTTTCATTCACTCATGAAAGGCCCTTTGGAAATCAGAGTACTGAGCTGTAACTCCTGCCTTGTAGAAGCAGGAAGTTAATGCTGACATTCAGTGTCTTGGCACTTCACACAGTGCTGTCTGAGTGTCAGGTGTTGACAGGACATTAATTCTGTTCAGGACCTTCTCTTATTCACGATTTGCTTACATGACAACCAGTTAGGCATTTATCCATTGCAGTCCATTTCTTACAAACCGTGAGTTAAACTGCCTGCAAATTCCTTGTCCTTCCTGCTCCCAGAGCTATTTTGACACAGGCAGAAGATAGTTTCTAGCAAATACCACAATGTCATGCAAATTCAGTCTGTATTTTGTGACAGTATTTTTTTCTATTTTTTTCTGGAGCTCTTCTCCTTTTTATACTTCAAATATTTCCTACTTTAAAAAGGCAGGTTTGTAAGTTATTGTTCAGATGGAAGAAAAGGATTATTATCATCAGTAAAATATGCTTTTATTTCCTAATGCAAGTTGGGAGGTAACACCTGAATGCAAATTTGTGATGCTAAATCCTAGTGCTGTTATTGTTGATATTGGAAGGTGTGTAGTGTTAAGCCCTGACATTGTAGGCAAGACAAGTATAGTCATCACTAAGGCTCTTGAACACACTGAAGCACTCATTTTACTTTTGCCATAAACTTCTCTGTGATGTCAGGCAAATAACTTACACTGAATTTTTCAAATACTTTCAACTACCTTGTATTTCTCATTTTCTGGGTGTCTGAATTTGTGAATTTTGAGGCCAGATTTTCAGAAATGCAATAATAGTGAAAGCTGAATTTAATGGGAGCTCTGTCTGTCTATATTGCTAAGTCAATACTCAAAAGTCAGATATTAGATAGCTCACAGGAATACTTTAAATTGCTGAGTGGGTTTGACCTTTATGTTTCTATTTCAGTTCTGAGGATAGTAGCACTCTCACTCCTCCTTCCCTTCATTGATCTTAAAAAGAAGAATAATGCTTATGCAGTCTGAATGAGTCAGGATAAGCTATGATAGAAAAGGTTTTGATCAAAAGAATGAATAAGGCTTGCTCGTTAAGGGATCCCTAAGAACCTTTAAATTTATGGTATATATGTCTACATAGCTGTCTGTGGAGCTTTTATGAGTACATAATAGTTTTGGTACTTATATAYTTGTATGGATTTATATAATTTTCATATCACCTGTTATTTGAGTGCTTTGAGCACATAAAAAGGCATTTTGAGATTTGATTCAGGTTATAGAAAACAAATGGAATTAGAGACATAAGACATTGCATTGAAATTCAAACAGAATAGTGAAAAAAATGCTGTGAAGGAAAAACACAAATTTCTTAGAATTTTGACAGTGATAGTACATGAGAGACATGAGATGCAAGATACAAAAATGAGCTAGAGAAGGCAAAAGACACACACACACMCCCAGAGACATGTACATATACTATACAAAATGCATAAGAAATCATCAGTTCTCCAGACCTTTTTTTTTTAATCAGATCATAGGATGTCTGGTTAGGAGTCTCMTCTGTGTTTTCTTCCACAACATTCTTACTCTGCCTGATACTGGAAAAAATGGCTCTGCACAGGAGTGATGTAGTTTAGTTCAGAATTGTCTGAGATTCACCATAAATGTGAAGTCTCTTGCTGTTACTTTTAAAATTGATTCTACCCTGCATATTCCTTTTTGATCAACAGAAGATACATCTACATCTAACAGTAAGAGCATTTTTAAAATCTTTAGACTGAGGTTTTAACCTAAACAAGCTGTCTTGTACGTATTTTAAGAAGCTAATTTAGCAGCCTACTCTCTTCCTTTGCTCTACAATCTATTAATTTCTACTTCCTGTACTTGACAGTGAAATTGTTGTATTAGCCATGTAATGAACTTCCCAACTTAGATAATAAAAAAAATTTGGGAAAGAAATTTGACATGAACCCTTCAGATTCCGTTCATAGCTCTGGGTGAATAAATCTTCCAGGCCTAGCTTAATCTGACACTGTGATTTTGTGACTTACTGCGAACTTAGAGGAGGTCCCTTGCCTCTCTCTAAGGAACTGCGTGTCAACTGCTTCTCTCAGCAGTCTGAGCTGGAAGCTCCATCTCCTGTCTACCTGACAGTGTCTTGGGTCTTCTATTTCCTTAGCTAACTCCTGTTTCCAGAAGAAAGTGCTGTTTTATGAACCTCCTTCAAAACATGACACATGATCTGATCACTCCCTTAAGGAGCCTGAGTACCCATCAGAAGACATTTTAGGATATTTTGGCTCTTTTTCTTCAATCAGATCAATTTTGCAGTATTACTCAATAGATAGATGCACCACTTCTTGCTCCAGCAGGTTGTGCAGTACAGGGGCAGAAGCTGGAAGGTAAGAGGGAAGAACAAGGTCAATTAGACAGACTCATTAGTGGATACAACAAGAGTTGAAGAACCAGTGTGTTTTCTGGAATAATCCTTCGACTCTTGAGAAGTGTCAGTGGAGTAACAAGTACAGGCAAAATTGAGGTTTTGAGTGTCTAGGTATTATGTGTTTTGTTTGACTCTTTTATTTGGTTTAATCCTGTTTAATAAAGTCAATTTAGTTATTTGATTGGTATTAACAAGGAAATGTCCTGATTACTTTAGTAATCAATTATGCAGTCTGAAATTTTGAGAGAATGAATATGATTTATCTTTTAAATAAGATGATTTACTTTATTCTTGAGTTGTTACATGTACGATTTGGCTCTATTATTTTTAGAGAAAGAGATATGATTTTTTGGKGAAAAAAATCTGCATTGTATTCTCAGATGTGGCTACAATAGAAAGTGTAGTTATTTCTCATAAAGAAGTCAGGATGCATTTTGTACTTGCACACTGCTACTRTGCCATGCTTGGGATTTTAGGGGGTTTCTGTAAATTATATACTGTTCTTTGTGAGCACAAGATGGAAGTCATATTCCACTGCCTTACTATTACTAGTCTGACTTAAAAGACTACAGAATTTAATTTGAAATCAACCACATCCTGAAGCTATTCCAGCAAACATATGCATTCTATATCCTTTGATCAATAAAACAGCTTGTTGTTTTCAGTAGAGAACCCAGAAGTAAGGTTAACACTTAGAACACTTGGATCAGACTTTTCTGGATACAATTCAACTTTTTTTACAATGTCCATAAATCTAGGTTAACTCCAGTAATGCTGTAAGAATTCAGCAAAATTGTTATTTAATATGAATTTTCTGTTCAGTATGAACATTTATGCATTTTCTTGTAACTCAGTTTTATATTCATGAAAGTAGGGTTTTGAATACCAGTAAAACAAATCTTTGTCTGCATCCACTCAGCAATGTAAAAGCTATTAGATTATTCTCCTGTAGTAGCAGTCTCAAATTTGCATCAGTTTCCTGGTTTATCATCCAATTTAAAAGAATTGGAAGGATAACAATACCAAATGCATTTTGCAGAGAGATTATATGACTGCCTGACACCATCCATTTTTAGGTGCTCGCTCTCCCTCTCTGTGTCTCTTTCAATGTGCCTCTCATCAATAAGTAAATCTTGCTGTTGGCTCTTGAGTTTATTTCACAATTTTCATACTTTGCATGTATGGATGTTGAGGGAATATTGAATCAAAGGGTTAATGCTTTCTTTTCCCCTTGTTTTGATTCTGTAGTATCTTGCCAAAACTACCATCACATCAAAGGCCTTCTGGTCCTTCCAGAATATAGTCATTCTTTGATCTTATAAAAATGACCATGAGAGGAGGAGCAGTTTGAGATCCTCTGTCCTGCCTGCCTCACCCTTTCCTTTCCTTTCATCGGCCAGTGTGTCACTTCCCTTCATTGGGCTTCCCAGAGCCCTTCCTCTGCCCATTCCCACCAAGGAACTTCTGATTCCTGATGGTGCTTGCAGCCTGCTGTTTCTTTTCTCCTAAAGCTCAGCTTTCTCTTCCCTTCTTTCTTGATGCTGTCTTTTCACCCTAGGTGTCTATTGTTCTGGTTTAATACCCAGCTACTTGTCCATCCTCTGCTCCCTGCTRTTTGGTATTTCACGTGTTCTTTCAGGTTTTTCCTAATACAGTCACCTCTAGTTTTCTTCTGCCAATATTTTTTCCCCTTTAAAAGAATTTCTTTTGCTGCTAGGAGTATGACCTTTTTAA